GAAAGGCTTTTACCTAATATTTCCCGACGTCTGTTCTCATACCATAGAGGGTCTGCGCTATCTCCTTAAGTTTTAGATACACTGCAGGTTTCGTGCAGATTTCCTGATCGAACTCCATTTTCAGGATCAGCAGGCTTTTCAAATTTAATAGGCCCGTTTTGTTTTTACAGAAGATATTTTGACAGGTCGCAGTAGGAAAAGCACAGGTGTACACAATAAAATAAATGATGGCTTGATTCCATTTCCCTGCTTCAGGGTCCTGGTATTATGCATGCTGTCACACTGTCACACTGTCATGACCTCCTGGGATACTTGAATAGAACGCAGCCATCGTTAAAGTTATTAGTGCTTCTCCTACTGTGCCAAGTCAAAATGGCTGCTGTGAGAAAGGCCTGTGGGCCAAGTGGTACACATACAGTTAAAGTAACTCTACATTACAAACTGGGGGCATGACATTTTAAAAGAGTTGCATTGTGGGAAATAGCCAGTAGGGACAAATAGTCAGGATATCTCAGCCTCTGCTCCATAAATTTTGACAATTGTTTGTTAAATCTGTCTCTTGCGAGTCCCCCAATTTTATGGAAGCTCAATTCTAAATCGCTGGAGTCCCCCTTTATTGTTTTGCTCGACTGCTAATGGTAAAGTTGATGAAAATACTGTACCGTATAATTAATGTTGTCACAAAAAAATGGGTTACGCCTTTAACATCGTACACGATACATTGACATGTTGACAAGGATGATGCACGAAGCCTCGTAGTGCCGCTCTACTTTCTCTTAACAAGTTGTAACAATGACTCGTGCCTTTCTCTTTTTGCTGTTAAATATCTAACATTCAAAGCTTCAAGCAGTTTTTATTTTTTCAACAATGTCATGATTCCTAAACATCCTCATATCATGTAGTGTACTGGCTTTGCCGCTAGATGCCGCTGCAGTCCTGCACTGAGGCTGTGGGCTGTGCTGCCCTGTGCACAGTCCCTCAGGCAGTATAAAACATTCAGACTGTGTACCGCTCCTAACGAGCTTCACCAATCAATGTTTGGCAGAGGGTTCATCTTCCATTCACGCTCCTGGTTCTAGTTCTGGGTCTAGACAAGATTTGTATGAGGAGAAAAGAGCCTGAATGCTTAGATTTCTTCTTCAGTTGCTCTCAGTCCCAGCTTGACAGGATTTCCTCCTTTGGTGGTTGTGACTGATATGATTCTGTAAACGTTATCTTACACAAAATACATCGCTTATACAGAGATAATTCAGATCGTGGCAGTCACGACTTTTATTTTTTGCTTTACAATGCATTATTTATTCAGAGCCTCGAAGCGCATCGATGTCTGCATCCCCTTTTTAGCTCCTAATGCTTCCTGTAAAGTGCTTTGATTTGACACTCTTTGATTGTGTTTGGTGAACCTATAGTGCTCGGTCTAATGGAAGGTGTGAGGTGTTGTGTGTGTGTGTGAGGTGGGGGGGGGGGCAGTAAAAGTGTGTTTTTAATGCCTTGTGAATAATTTAGTTTTGGGCTATACTCGTTACTTTTCAAGCACCAGAGCATAGATGGATACAAGTTGTAATAAATGACTTTTGGTTGTTGTGTGCACCTCTTTCAGATGATTGTCCCACTCCCTTTGGTTACTTGGAAGATGGTGAGTTTGGGATTGATGTACAACACCAACATACAAGTATTTATGAAGAGCATGCAGCGCACATGAGTTACACTTCAGTTAATGCATTCATGCAGTTCAGCCTCACGCTGTTGATGTGTGTCGACATTGTTGTGCCTGTTTTTCAGTGAGAGCGGTCCCGCGCTCCAAAAGTGACGCCGAGGTGGATTCGAGAGGCCGCTCGATGCCGGTGCCAACGCGCTCCTCTTCCCTCAGACCCTCCGCCAAAAGGTCAGCGTCCTCCATCTGCTCCTCCGTATGGCGTTCACTTTGATATGAAGTACAGAAGCACAGTGCTGCTCGTGTTTGTTAGCGAAGAAAGGAAACGTTTACAACTCGGAATACAAAGTAGGAAAAGTGATATAACTCAACATAAGTGGAGGAAACCTATTTGTTGTGAGTGTTCCTGTGCTATCAAAGCATGGCTGTAGTGATGGCTCATAATGGTAGCTCGTGTGTTCTCACAGTGTGATGTTAAAGTCACTTCCAGTGTCGTCGTATTGGTCTTTATTTACATACAGCGCTAGTAAGCGTGACTAAACATCGCACAGCAGAGCAATGTCTTCATTCTGACTTTGCAAGTCTGATGTTATTTTTTCCCCAGTGGCTTCCACTACTGTGTCCCCCAGTTTGCACTGGAGGTTTGATTAGTTCCACACACACACGTCAGCAGTGACACAAAGACGACCTGCTCTCAGAGAAATGAGTGATAGAGTGCTGAAGGAGGACAGGTGATGGAGGATAAACTGTTGCCCACTAGAGCTGCAGATGACATGTTGAGGACTGACCTTCCTCTTTCCTCGGGGCTTATGTATGAAAGGGGGCAACGCAAAACATGTCTAGGTAAAAAAAAGAAATGCTGCTTGATTCAGAAAGAATTTCATTCAGAAAAACAGGAGAGAGAGTAGGTGTAGGATTGGGTAATTCTCATTTAAGAGTCTTATTTTGGTCCTTTCATCAGTAGTCATTTTGGCGTTGGCTGTCTATTACAGTAAGAAATTCTCCCGGGAAATGCTGCGCTCTGTTTTGTGTCACTGGGTCTAATCTTGTTTACCTTATCGAATTACCGATTTGGCTGAACCGTGAATTAGATTTTCTGCCATATGATCATTAGAGGAAGAGAGGGACAGGAGGAGAGAGAGGGAGGGAGAGAGAGAGAGAGAGAGAGAGAAGGGTTAATGAGTGCGGACGTCACGTTCGGGGAAAAAAAACACATCTTAGCCTCTGCTGGTTGCCATAGAGACTACTTGATAAGGATTGGCTCTCTTCCATCCCCGCACCCCACCCCCTCCCTGACACCCGCCCTCTCCACAGGAACGAGTGGGAGCCCCCTGATAAAAAGGTAGACACCAGGAAGTACCGCGCCGAGCCCAAGAGCATCTTCGAGTACGAGCCGGGCAAATCGTCGGTGCTGAAGCTGGAGAGAACGGTATGCTAGCCGCCTGCCCGTCTGCCTCTCTCTCTCTCTCTCGCTCTCTCTCTCTCTCTCTCTCTCTTTGTATGCATGTCTGCGTAAGCTGTCCCCCACTCTCCACCTACCACACACACCCCCACCCACCACCTCTGTATCTAAGCTCCCCGGGTGGCAGCCTCACTAACAGCTCGGACGGCGACGTATGTGTAGCCTGAATCGCCATGTGCGCCACATTCCTAAAGGGTGTCCTGTTGCGGTGACAGATGATCTTGCCGGGCAGCAGGGGAGTATCGCTTACAAGGAGAGCTATTGTCTCCCCGTCTTCAACTTAAGGTTATTGGGTCGAATCGGCTCGGCGTGAGAGGATGCCAGCGCAGACACAAAACATGGATCCCGTGTGTGTAATGCCCTCTACCCCCGCTTCCGTCTCCAGCCTTAGCAGTTCGTGCTCAATCAAACGGAGCGGCATCATTCAGTGTCCTTGAGGGCTGTCTGTTGATGATGAGCTTTGTGCCATATGATAGGTAATTGGCAGCTGCTCCCGAGATCTACAGTGTAGTATTTACCAAAGGAGAACGCATACATATTGCATTTAGATTTCCTTTTATAATACAGGAGGACTTGGAGGTGATCAGTGTTGTGATGAAGTAGATTTATGTAATGATGTAATTACTGTTTGTCTGACGCCTTCGGTTACATCAAGCTAGTAGATGTCGCTAGCCAAGATCTGGCCCCGAGCCCAGTGGCAACAAATACCCTCATTAGAGGGAGTTCGCCCCAGTTCATCCTGGTTCATTAACTGTGCAATAACGGACTTCAATCACAAGCTCAGCTATTACGGGTCAGTGTTGCTGTTACCTTAGCGGGTCACTTTCTACGTCAGGTCTGTTGTTTTTACTCTCTGGTGCTGAAAGATGTGTTGCTTTAGCCCTTATAGAAAATGCATATTTTAAAGATTGTTATGTTACATCTCCAAAAAATTGCATGTTTTGTTAGTCGTCGTCGGTATGTGTCGTCTGGTTCAATGGAATAAAATGAACGCAATGAATAGTCTACTTTGAACAACAGCACTTTTTGGGTCGAAGACTTGGGTTTGTGTTTTTTCAAGTCTTTTTTAAAGCAATACCTAAATGCCCATATGTACATTGAAACTGTTTTTGGTTGCTGAAATCAAACCTCCTGTCCAAAACTGCCAGAGCCAATAGCAATGGAAGGATGCCACATGGCATTCAAAAGTTCAACTGAGGCTTCAGCCATCAAATCAAAGGACTATAAAAAAAAGTGAAAGCCTTTTTTAGTACAAAATTCCCTCTTTGTATGTAATTGGACAGTGTTTCCTTGCTGAGCTGCGGTTGAGGCATAATAACAGTTTGTATAGGAGAAACAAGTACAGCGACCCATAGCTTTGTTAATGTGTGTAATGAGTATTGTGTTAAAGGAAACATTCGATATTTTGGGTAATATATGCTTATTGGCTTTCTTGTGAAGAGTTAGATGAGTAGATCGATACCACCAGTAAACATACGGCTAGAGCCAGCAGCTACTTAGCTTAGCTTAGCATAAAGACAGGAGACAGCTAGCCTGGTATCAGCACCTCTAAAGCTCAATCATCGTGTTACTGTTGGAGCCGCAGACCGTTTCCAGTCCTCATGCTAAGCTAAGCTAATTGGCTGCTGGCTGTAGCTTCATATTTATCGCACAGACTTAACAGTGGTGTCAATCTTCTCGAGTAAAGTATCAAAGTATCAGACTATTCCTTTAAGATAGACTTGAATAAGTGTGAACCTATCCTTCAATGAGAACAGCTGCAGTGCTGCTGATAATTGATGGTGTTGGGCTCATTACCGTGGTGTGTGTATTCTGTGCTGTCTGAACTGTCTTCTCTTTGTCTTTCTCCTCCTCCTCTTGTTGCCATGCCCCTAGACTCAGGATGTAAACCCAGAAGATGTAGATTTAGAGAGTGAGCCTTGGTATAAATTCTTTTCAGAGATGGAGTTTGACAAAGCGGTAAGTGGTCGCTGTCTTTAAAGTGACAGTATTTCATTGCATGTGATAACATCCATGTTCAAATATGCCTAAACAAGCTGTGTCTATGTGTCTATAAGGACTACTCCAGTTTCTGCTTCCACTTCCCATATTCTACCGAATAATGGAATTATTGATCGTGCACATAAAAGGTTATGTGACAGCATGTGTAAGGGGAAACCGTGTTTCCTCTTCAACTAAATTCACTACCACGTGTCCAATCAACCAACGTTTACACAACCCTGTTTTTAATCATAAACTCTTTGTTTTAGGATGTATATCAGCGATCCCGTCTGCAGCTAAACTTTTTTTCAAAGCATTTGACATAGCTACTGTCATCCCTCGTCATCACCTCGTACAATGTAAAAGGATTTTCTCCCCCTTCGTGTCTAAAATAGTCAACTGAGATCTATTTTTGCCCTCTTCAAACGTGTCTCTCAGCTATTTGTTTGCATCTGTGATGCTGAGTGAGCACAATCAGAAAACTGCTGTGGCCTTTACCCTGTGCAATTTAGATAGTTGGTATTTAATATTGTTTAGGGTTTGTTATACTCCAGTAGTAGCGCAGGTGCCCGTGATAAAGTATCAATTAAATCATCACAGGGTAGTTTTGAGTCATCACCATCCTTTTTTCTTTACACGGGGTCTTGCGATCTCTTGCCAACCGTGGCAGTACCCTTGTTCTTCCATGTTGTTAACTCATCGCCCGTCGTTTGGTTAATTTTTGATATCCACTTTGCCAACCGGGTGAGGCCTGGCCTGGATGATTCATCCAGAAGTCACTCTTCACGTGGAGAGTCTGCGGTCCTCTCGAGCATTAGGCTTCGGGATAATAAGAATTGCTGCCCGTCTGCTGTCTGGTATATTTACCAGAATACCCAAACAGACTCAGGCGTGTTGAAGCAGCATACGGTGCCACGACATGTCCATGCCTCGGGCCTCAGCTGGCACCAGACAAGCGTGGCACCGTCCCCCTACAAACAGATGTTGGTTCCCCTCGCTCCCTGTCAGTCAGAGCCACACCGCCACACCCTGGATCATACGAGGTGGCACCGCTAGCTCCCACATGAGGTCATGTCCTAGCGTCGGCCAGACGCGGGGTCTCCAGCTCCAGGTTAGTGTATATGTGGAGGAGGTTTAGCGGTGGAGGTCTCATGGCAGCCTGGATGTTTGCCAGATGATCTGGGCTTAATGACTGGCTCCTGTTTAATGTCAAAGTCACTTCTAAAGCTGCACCTGGTATGCGTAGCATTTGACCTTAAGGCCCAGCCAGACACTCTGGCTCATTGGAGTTTGATTGACATATCAGCACTCACTCAGTATTACCGGGGGAGAGATATGGGTGGAAGTCTGCAAAAACCACAGTGCTCCGGGGTTAAATGAAGAGCTGTGGTCCAGTTTGGTCTTATTGATGACCTTCAAAGTGCTACGGTGAACCACTTCTACTACTTAAGTGGTATTACTCGACAGTATTAAAAGTTCCTCTGATCTACATCTTTATAACAGTCTTCTTGTGGTTTCACACCGCTAATTAGCCAGTTGTCAGCTAAATACCTCTAAAGAGCAGGCTTAGTGTGAGTAACACATTAGATAATCCGAGCAGACGGCACTATTTCCTCCTCCTCTTTATCCCGTCCTGTGGAATCATCACTCCTCGTCACTTAATAGCCACTGGGTAAGAGTGACGCCTGTGTATAATCACAGTAATGGTCCTCTTGATTAACATGAAGAAGAAAACAGTGACAGTTATGGTCCACACGTAGCTCCGGTCAGGAAAGAGCCTTCAGGCCGCCTACGACCGATACAGTGACTCCATCTGTGGAGCATGTGCTGACGAGGGGGCTGCTGCCACACTGTCTCAGCGCTGTTACATAGCCCCCCCCCCCCCCCCCCCCCCTCCACCGCCACCTGACATATTCTAAAGGAGGCGACTCTGTAAGCCCGCCAGCTCATTGTGCTTTTATATTTAACCTCTGTTACACACTTGGCCTTTACCTTTAAGCTTTTGGTGGAGATGAGACGAGGGGCGCTCGTGGCTATAACAGGCCCTTCACACTGGGGGAGCTGTTTGTTTTCACGAGTACACATCAACACAAATAAGGTGCTGGAAAGAATGAGATTCATGTTACCATGACCTACTCATGATCGCTATTTGGAATATGAAAGTGGCTCTGAGTGGCCGGGGACACCTGTTAGGAAACATGCACAAAGGAATTCTGCAGAAACGGAGTCATCGGCGCTCCACTGACTCACCGAGGCTTTCATTCATGTCCATGTACAGCTCCGGACATGTCACGCTCTCGCTGCTTTCATCCTCTGTGTGCGTCTTCATCTGATAAGTCGGGCCAGTTTTTAGCATCTTGTTTTTATACGCTCTCTTCCTCTACCTTCTATTTGCCCCTTTTATTTCATTAGCTGGATGAAAAACGTCCCTTCGTAGTAATATGATCAGTGAAATCAGAGTAGGATTAGTTTCAAGCTGAACTGTTTTACCTTTTATGATAAAGAAAGGTTCACATGAAGTGACACTAACCAGGCATCTTGTAAATAACCAGATTAAGATGCCATTCCTTTACTCCAGATAAGCTTTCCATGCTTGTTTCCTGTTTACTTTCCACTGATGCCGTGTGTGTGTATTAGCCCAATTACCCAGGGGTGCAAGAGGACACTATCTTCTCCGCCTGATATCAGTTTTGAGGGGGGGGGTGTATAAAATGAGTCGGAGCGAGGAAGAGCTGCAGATTATTCAATGGCACTGGCGTGTTCCCCCGGGTCGACATGGAACATTTGGCTTTATAAATAGACCAGGCTACAGACCTGCCAGCCTGATGTTCTGTTCTTACAAAGATAGGCATTTATTCTGAAAGGTTATAAATGATCATCCTGCCCTGGCAACTAAGTGGAAAGGCATGTTGTGGCAAATGTCGCCGCGGAGAATGCTCCTTGTCTGGTCATCGGCGCGTGGAAGCGGACACTTGGCCGCGCCGTGGGGAAGTGGACGTGGTATTAGCGGCAGGGCCGGGCTGGCTGGGATGGGGATTGCGCAATCGTATTTGCAAACAACACTTGCGCTCTTATTCATAGTGCCCCGTGTCACATCCGTTATTTTTACCTGCTGTGACGTCTGAAAAGAGGGGAGCAACAGAAACAGTGGGCTAAAATTAGTTGGCTCTAAACCATTCAAAATGCTAGTGGGTGCCACCACACTGAATGACCGCCCCTGTGTTTTGGAGATAATATCTGCTTCTAAATACCCTCTACTTTTACTCTTGTAGTCCTTTAAACAGTATTCACTCACTGTTTCCTCTCAGTTTATTTATTTCTGCCTTTCTGTTTGTGCTCTTTGTCTTTATAACTGTGTTACAATATGTTTGACTGTATTCTTCATTTTGTCTGTAAGCATTTGTGTCTCTTTTTGGCTATTAAAGTGTGTGAGAGAGTGTGTCGAGTGTGCGTGTGTGTGTGTGTATGTGTGTGTATATGTGTGTAATCCGGCCTGCTTCCATCACCAGCTGGTTAATTGTCCCCCGGTCTGGTCCAGTGGTAATGAGAGTGACTCAATATCAGACAAAAGAAACGGCTTCGCTGGGAGACAGCAGCCCATTGGCTGAGCCCGTGACAGCCCCCTCCCCGCATGGGTGCCCCCCTGACCGATGCACGCCCACCCGCCCATTTCCCCCCTCCCCATCCCCTCTTCTCACTGCCGCTTGTTTTCTCCAACTTGCATGCAGGCCAAAACACACGCTTACTCCTCCATGCCGAGCCCAGTCCGGAGAAGCTAAGAACCCCGGCTGCTCGAGACAAAAAAAACCCAGAGCAGCAGAGTGAACGCCAGCGAGGAGAAGAAGAGAGAATCTGACCATAGCTAATGCCCCTGCCTCTGTTCTAGCTGGAGGAGAACCTTCCCGTGGATCTATCAATGACTTCTTTGTTTGGTTTGTTGCAGAGTGCCCCCTCTTTCAGCCCCCTGGAAACAGCCTCCGACCTGCAGCAGTAGTAAGTCCATGTCCTCCTTCCCATTCCAATACTTGAGCTTTCAATCTTTGCTTTCCTCCCTTCCAGCGTGCCGATGATTATTTAAGACACGTTTTGGGGATAAATGTCAGTGAGAGATTTTCTCCAACCCTGTAGAGCTGGCCCACCCTGAGCAGGGGGAACTCCTGCTTCCTGAGGAGATCCTGTTAATGAGGCAAAAAGCTCCCAGAACAGTGTGTCCTCTGTCCGTATTTCACGGTGTTTTGTTGGGAGGGTGGGAGTCATGGCTGCTATGTGGGGGATGTATTTAAAGACAGCAACCTGGATGTCACTGGGAGAGAGGGAACTCACCCAGCTGCTGCATAACTTAAAAACCGTTATCTTCTTCTGAATGGGTGTGTGCACAGAACTCAGAGCGGCAACTGCATTGTGAAAGAGGATGCTGGCCGTTACTAAAACAAAGCCTGCCGAGCCCTTGATCTTTTTTTGTTTTTGTCCGATGAGATTGACATCTTCTATTTTCGTTTGCGTAATAAAATGTAAGGAATTCGAGACTGAGCCACGGTGACTGTCTCGCGCTACGGTCCGAGGGGAAAATAAACTTCCTCCCTCCATTTCTGCCGAGCGCTTTCCATCTGCTACAATCATTATGTCACCGTGGCCAAGTACGCGAAGACAGATTCCCAATCCAACTTTTTAATCCAGTGGGTCGTTAATATTGAAAGGAAGAGGCTCCCGGGGAAGGGGAGGTGGAAGTTCACTCACCCAAACTTTTCAAAGGAAACCTCAGGTCATAAAGTGACTTCCTCCAGAGGCACACATGTTTAGGGCAGGATGTTGTTTTTATTTGAAATCAGAGACATTCTGAAGAGCCTTCTTGTAAATACATCATTTGATTGTAAAATGCAAAAACATATGCGCCAGTGTGGCCGCATTAAATGACTGAATCTCTTCGTAAATGTGTGTATTTTCAGGACTCTGTTAGACACACACACACTGTGTTTGCATGCATGATGGCTCTTATCAGTTAAAGTATTTGGAAAATTGATTTAAATTGTCCCAAATTGTTTGAATGGCCTCACCATAAGAGAACATCTGCGGTGTTGCCAAGCCTACACAAACGTAAGGCTACATTGCGCTCCTTGTTCCCTACCTCAACACAAACAGCTCTTTCATAGCTGTGTGCACTGCTGACTGCAGAGAGCCATTAAAAATCAGGTTGGTTCTGGGTTACTTACAAGAATTCACATAAATGCTACACAGGAAGTCTGCAGGACAGGAGCCGTGTGAGATTTAAGTCCATCTCCTGTTATGGTTCTGGTTAAGTCAACAATCAGTAATCAGCCTGCGAGAGAACCGCTGACTGAACCTACTGCAGGTTCCTGTAATGTTCATCTAGTTCCCTGGAACGACGAGGAGCTCATTTAAATGCCAATTACTGAGTATGTACTACTGCATGGCCGTGGCAGCATTTGGAAAATAGTAATTCCTCTTTTTCCCAACACTAGTGTCAAGTTTTCATTTCGCGACACTTGGGTCTCTCTCTGCTTCATTAACATGTTTGTCCGCACAGATAGAGCCGCAGCGTGAGTAACACGTGAGCGCCATGTGAACCAGAGTAAACCTGACAGCGGTACAGGTGCGCGGCAGCGGGCTGATGCACCATGTGGGAATGTTCAGAGAATATTTATAGAAATGTCTCCCGACGGCCTCTCTGGAATGCCAAGATATGTGCGGTAGCGAATGCCTCCAACTCAACGTCGCCCTCCAAATTTCTTCACTTTCTTTCTCAAGTTTGTTTCTTTCTCTGTCTCTGATTATTTTTTTCTCTCCCACCAGTCTGCGAAAGACAGGAATTACCTCAAGATACACTAAATGAGAACCATATGACAGCTCATTACCCAATTGGCGCTCCTCTGGGTATCATGAATCGGGGCTGTGTTTTGATTAGCTGTCTGCGTTCCTCTTGTCACTGTCTAGCTCCTCGAGCAAGTCTGGACACAGCGAGGTGGAGAAGGACGGGGGATCATCCACGGGTGAGCCCGGGGCTCCAGAATGCGACCGCCATGTTTACAAGAGCGTCCTGGAGGGCGGCGACATTCCCTTACAAGGTCTGCGGGCCCTAAACAAGCGGCAAGCCAGCGCCTCCTCATCTAAAGGTAGGATAGCATCCGCGTTATGTATGCAGCCAGTAAAAACGGCACAGGTGTGTGTGGGTGTGGATGTGCGGCTAGACAGCATAGCGGGCCATTTAAGGCCCTTCCTGCTGGGTCAGAAGAACCAATGAGTTACAGACGTGATGTTAGACCGCTCAAAGTGTCAGGTGGGGATACATGTGTTCCCAGTTACCTTTCTGTTGGAAATCCAAACCGTTTGCTTTCGCCCAGACCTCACAGCATCGGCCAATCACCTCGCGGCTTTTCATTCCCCCCGCCAAACTTTTGATTTATTATTGATGCCATGGATGTTTTCATCAAACGTGTACCGGCCATCTGCTTTGGAAAACTCATGGAGGGAGTGAGGTTGTCTCGCTAAGTCGATGGAAGCTAACCTTGGAGAGTTTAACACCTCCACCCCCCACGCTTCCCCACCTCTTGCTCCAGTTGTGGGCCGCCAGTCGCTAGGCAGGCTTAGGGCAAGACTCCAGAGCGTTACAGCGCCAGAGAGCGGATGGATGAGGAGCGGAGATAAACAGACAGGGGTGAGATCAACAGGAGGGACACAGAGGGGGGGGGGGGGCATGAGGAAGTCAGCTGTCAGTGTGAGGTCCGAGGGCTGGAATGCCTGCGCACATGGCCGGGGGGAGGAAATGCTGGGGCAGGAGAGGTGAAGAGATGTAAGGAGGAGAAAGGGCAGGACAGTGTGACCCAATACATGTCGTTACTGTGCATTACATCTGGAAAGACTACTCCATCGATAGACAATGGAATAGAAAGTTTCCACTCAAAGTTTTGTATATTTCCACAATAATGACTAATGTGTTGACGCGTGGAACTACAATAAATCCAAAAAGTTTAACTGTGGAGCCCCTGCAGTAAATGCATTTGGCTCTCCAGTCAACTGACTAGCATGCTCCTTCATTAGCCTCCTGCCCGAAGAGATAAAGCACAGAGTGCCAGAAATCAAACACTTCATCATGTGTCTCTGTCTTGTGCTCATGAAAGACAAAAATATCTGTATAAATCTTTGTCTTCTGAAGAGCTGAGCCTCCTCGGGGGCTTTTCAGCGACCGGGACTCTTCTCTCTCTCTCGCTAGAATATCTAGTTTACTTCCTCAGTGTGTGTTTTTTTCTGCTAGATATGAATGTGACAGATGGGTCACTCGTGCTGCTGAAGTGTCTCGCAGCATGTGAATGTGTTGTGTCACTTCCCGGCTCCATCTGTGGCGTTATCGCCAGCAACGCTACAGCCGGGAACCGACGCGGTATTCATCACAGCTCTCTGACAGCCATATTTTTACCGGGCAGGTTGACTCAGGATTTATTTATTATTTACAACCGTGTAGGGGAGCAGCGTATTAACAGGGGTGCCATTGGGCATTTATCACTGCAGCCCGCCTGTCTGATTGCTAAAAGTAGAAGAGAAGAGTATACAGTGTGTAGGAGGTTAAAGCGGAACAGGCAGTGGTCATGTGACAGAAAGACGTATGAAAACAAATAGGTAACAGAAAAGACTTTTATTTAATTTAATTGTTTTATCTTTTTGTTTTTAAATGTACTGATACTGCAGTCAGTGTTAATAATTCCTACACGACCTCCAACATCACATAACATCTCATGGCATATTGCTGTCTTAATACTTTATGTTCCACTTGTTATGTTTCTGTTAACAAATAATATTGACAATGCAAGAATCTTTCAGACAGTAAATATCCCCTTGTTCCATTTTTACAAAGCATTATTCTTCATGATGTTAGTATAGAAGTCATATTTTACTTGATGCACAATGCATCAAGTCTGCTTCCTCTTCTCATCCACTTCTAATGGAACTTGGTCTTTACTTTAGAAATGTGCCTGACTCTGTTTTAGTGTGTGTGAACCTGTGACCATTGTAATCTAATATGTTGTTTATTCTGTTGTCCTGCATGCTTGCCAGTGGATTATAAAGGTGGGAATGGCTATATAATTTCACCCTGCTCCTCTGTAAATAGTCGATCGGTTCTTGCCAGTAATGCAATAGGTAACCAGTGTAAGAATATGAAGCCTCTGTCTGCTGCCAAAGCCTGCATACCTCAAATCCTGCCCTCTAAATTCAAGCCCAAGCTGCTGCCGCCCAGTGGTGACAGTCAGGAAAGCAGGACTAAAGCTGTCAGGCACCCGAAGGCCCACAGCTGTGAGGATCTGTACACGGGGCCGTGTGACGCAGACTTTGCTGGAGCGGAGGAAAGGCAGCGTGCGCAACATTCAGACTCCAAGTCCAGCTGCGGCACCGAGTGTGAGGACGGACTCTGGAATGTTTCCCCCGCAATTAGGAGGAGCGCATCCGAGTTCTCCGGCCTGTACAGGACCATGCATCAAATCCAGCGGCCCAGCTCGGCCGGCTGCAGCCCCCACAGCAGCGTCCGCAGCCTGGCCTCCCTCTTTGAGAAGTCAAAGGCCGACGGGGGCGGGAGGTCAGAGGCGGACGACGGGGGCGACATTCCACGGGATGCTGTGTTGTCACGGGTCAGCGAGTTTGAAACGATCATCCAGCGGTCCGGCTTGACACCCAGCCGCTCCTCCTCCCTGCCCACCCTGCACTCCGGCCCCGGCCACAGCCCCGCCCACGTCTACATGGCGTCCGCAGTGTCAGCGGAGTCCCTTTTGGTAGCTGACGCCACCCAGATGGACGCCTGCTCCACAACGGAGGCCGAGGGCGGGAGCTGTGGGGAGGAGGCCCTGTCACCAGGCGGTGTGACCATGGAGGAGGACAGACACGCCGTCAGGACTGATTCCCCCTCCAACACCGAGGCCGAGGTCGAGCTGATCTTCAGTAAAAGTTCCCCAGAACTGAACCACCGAAATGTGGGCGGGTCAAAAAGTCCCCCTGCCCCGCTGACGGCGTCGCCGCTGCAACACAACCACCTCCACCACCACCTGAACCACCAACTCCTCCTCAAACCCAGCAAATGCAAAGGCTCCTGCCCGGCCTCTTACACCCGCTTCACCACCATCCTCAGGCACGAGAGGCAGCAGGCCTCCACCCAACAGGAGAGGCCGCCGCCTCTGGAGAAGAAGACCGCACTGCCCGGGAACCTCTTCCTCATGGGCCCGGCTCCCTTCAGGCTACGGAAGAACCTGCAGTCCCACCAGAGTCGGAGGAGCCTGCTGGCCACCAAGGTGATGGCGGGCACCCAGAGGCCCAGCGCTTTGTCTCCCGAGCCCAGGCCTCTGATCCCGAGGCGCCTGTCCTCCCTGGAGGTCCTGGAGAGGCTGAGTAATGGAGAGGAAAGCAACACTGACCACCTGAGTAACGGGCAGGGCTTGGACGCCAACGGGAACCTACTGCAGCCGCTGGCAGCTCACCGCAGAGGTGGCTATCTCCATACCTTCACCACTGTCACCCTCCTCTCACCCCCCCCTTCCTCTGTGGTCACCCATTTATCTCGACTCTCTCTTCACCTTGTGTCCCTTTCTCTCCACAAAGCGACGCCGCCGCCCCCCCATCTCTAGTCTGTGTGGTGTGCTTACAAAGTGACAGAGAAGCCTCCATCTCATTGTGTCAGTGTGCTGTTTTGGTGCTCTCCCATTTCACTGTGAATCAGTGCGATCCCGCAATCACTGTAGGAGGTTCAGGCAGCTTTTGGTAACGTATATATCTCTCCTGGTGACATCAGATTTGAGTTGTATGCAAGAGTGCTAGAGCCTGCGTAAGCATTACATCCATACAAACTGAATTCTGTGTTTTATTACACTGCTATGGCGTAGGATAACTGTATATGAAACATTTTATGATCCACAATGAGACGTCAAATCCTGTCCTTGCATAGCAAAGAAAAGAAAGCCTTACCTAAAACTACAATCCCAGCATCCCTCTGTAATGGTTAAGCAGGATATATCGATATAACATTGCATACGCTCTCTCAGACTGATGTCTCACCATGTCTGTATCTGGTTTGTTTTTGTTTTGTTTTGGGAATAATTTACATCTGCCGTCTTTCATTCTCTCACCATGAAAGGTTTGTTTTCGCCAGACAGGAAGTAAATAACAGAGTGAAACATCTATGGTGGGGAACAACTTAAGTCATGAAGACATCTAGCTAATATAGTGAAAGGTGAACCTTCTGTAGAATAGTGGATGTCGATTGGTCGATCATGATGTTTATTCTTTTGGCCAAGATACAGTAGGTTCCATATTTCCTTTCCTGCATTTGTTTTTGTTTTTTCCATGAACACACATCGGATCATTCTGTGTTCATTCCTATGTGCATGCAGGAATACATTTGGTTCTTTGGATGTGTGTGTGTGTGCTTTTTGTTTTTAGTGTTACAGAGATTATGGTGTTCATCCAAAGCATGCGTAGTTGTATTTATTCTATGATTCTATTCTTTGGAATTGAGGAGTTGACTGCAATATCATCATCGTCTATTTGAAAAGTGTTTATCTCAGTTGGATGTGCCTTGAGGGTTGACGGTAGAAAGGCTTCACGGCGTAATCTCCATGCTGCTTCTGTTTCAGACTCGTCCCCAGTCCTCGGGGAGAGCCAGGATGAAGTGTTGCGAAGGCGTCACGGGGACAAAGAGGTGAACTTCCTTTCAGATTTAAGCCAAACTTTCATAGAGTGCACTCTGCACAGAAAACAACTTTAGTCCAGAGAGCTGGGTTATGAATGAGGAAATCATATATTATACATAACCGCTGTGTCACATGAATAAGAGAGTGGAGGAGACCCATATCTGGAGGGGGACAAACAGTTCAGTCTGGTTTCCTGGCAGAAAATCTTGGAGGAGCAGCGGCGGCTGAAGCGGGAACAGGAAGAGGCCGACACGGCGTCCAGGCGTCACACGGGCATTGTCCCGACGCACCACCAGTTCATCACCAACGAGCGCTTCGGAGACCTGCTCAACATCACAGATAACACGGAGAAGAGGAAATCAGGCATAGAGGTACAACGTCTTATCCTTCTGTAAGCAGGAAGCCGGACGGCAGATGCTTTGTCAGTTTGTGTGTGAGCCAGGACACGCAAGGCTTTCTCCTCTGGGTCGAAGGTTCAGAGGGGGGAGAGCAAGTGCTGTTTACCGGCTATATATCTACACATAATGTGGTATTAGTTGCACCCCTGTGGTGACTGTAAACACCCCCCCCCAGGGGTGACCCAGTCAGTCACAAGCACCTCAATCATGTCGTTGCCAGAATATTCATGTTCACACGGGGCACTGAAAGGGGCAACAGATTTACAGCTCACAACAGATTCCAGAAACTCTTTTCTTAATACACGTACAATGACAAAGCCCAGAGGGTACAGTAACCAGAAAGTGTCAAAAGAGGTCAGTCCATAATGGGTATTTAATCCTTTGGATAACTTTCATTCACTGAGGGATCTGTTAACACTTGAGTCATGAAATCAGAGTGAAACAGGTTTCCTTCTTGTTTCTGCACAGAGAACTCCAGCCATGGCTCGCTTCGACTTCAGAGCAGAAACTCTAAAGTGAGTATCTGTTACGGGTCTAACAGGCAGTTGATGCAGGGACGTTGGGTTTTAAGACGCTGGTAAATTGTGTCCACCTTTTTGAAGATTTACATACGATCCGACCTTATCAGCATTTCTTTTGTCTCATAGGTGGGGTAAGCAAATTCTGACAAAATGCCAAATCATACAATCGCAGGAAGTTGCTGTTTAGACGAGTAGAATCCTAATAATAGAATTACAAGTGTCCTTTTACTTGAATGTGAATAAACCCCACCCATCTGGTGTCAAACACAGGACTGCATGAGATCACGTTTTTTTTTGCTTCTTTCGTTTCATGTGAGTAACTTATGTGTTTGGGACATTTCTAGGGAGTTGCCGTTTCAGAAGGGAGACATTGTCTACATTATTCGACAGGTGGATCAAAACTGGTATGAAGGGGAACATCACGGAAGAGTTGGCATTTTCCCTCAAAGTTACGTCGAGGTACGTGAGTTCTCCGTCTAGTGTTCTGCTGCACAGTGTGATTCAACTTGTATTTTCTCACTCGATCTGTTTTGTTACTCGTTGCCTCCTTCAGCTCCTTCCCCCGACAGAGAAAGCCCAGCCAAAGAAAAGTGCCCCGGTGCAGGTGCTGGAATACGGAGAGGCCGTCGCCCGCTTCAACTTCAACGGGGACACGGTGGTGGAAATGTCCTTCAGAAAGGTGTGCAGTGGGAGTTAGTCATTTCATTTCGGAGCACTTTGAAACGAGTTTAAAGGATTTTCTAACACGTAGAGATGCTTTTGTCTCTGCAGGGAGAGAGGATCACGCTTATTCGTAGAGTCGATGAAAACTGGTACGAGGGCAAAATCTCGGGCACCAACCGCCAAGGTATCTTCCCCGTCACCTACGTGGAGGTGAACAGACGACCCCGCATCAAAAACGGGGTGGAGTATCTCGACCCCCCCGTCAGCCAGTCGCCACAGCGCAGCACCAACGCGTCTCCTCAGGTAGTGAGGCTGCATTTGGATGTGGTGAAGAGGTTTTCTTACTGCGTCTCTGAATCCATACGTTTTCATCAATGTTCATGTTGACTTCACTTCTGATTTTATTCTTTTTTTTGCCCAGTGAACTTGTCTCATCTTTCCTTTCCTTTTCCTTCCCTCATCCCCTCGTCGCTCCCATCTCCTCCCACCTTCCTGTTGCTCTTAAAAGCTGTATCGTAACCGTCTGACCACCTCCCCGCTGCCCCTCCCTCGCTCCCCCCGCCGCTCCGTGTCCCCTGAGGTCCACGCCATCTCCTCTGAGTGGATCTCCCTGACCGTGGGAGGAGGAAGCCCCCCCACCGCGCCCACCCCTCCCCTGCCGCCGCTGCCCTCCGTGTCCTACCGCTGCGGCGAGTACCTGCCCCCGCCCTACTCCGCCAGCCCCGTGCCCTCCATCACCGGCAGCCCGTACTGCGTCTCCCCCATGGCCTCCCCGTCCGCCTCGCCTCTCCCCCCGCCTTACCCGCCCAGGCCCAACTCAACGACCCCCTTCCTCACGTTCACCCCGCCTCAGGGGGGGGATTTCCTGCTCTCCCTTCACTCCCCGCGTCTGTCCCGCAGCGTGAGCCCCTGTGGGGGGCCGGTGCTGGAGGGCTGGGTGAGGGGGGAGAAGGAGTCGACAGAGGGGGAAGGCACAGAGGGGGACGGGGGCCACGCAGCCCAGAGCGGCAGGCGACACAGCCCTGCAGAGGTATCTTCTGCATGGTGTGCGGTGTTGCATCCCAGGCTCACTCAGAAACACGGGCTTTTGGCCACCGTTCGATTCCCTAAGATAGAAGTGTGATGAAGTGCTGACACTGACGTTTGTGAGTGGAGGAAGGGACACTAACTTGTAGATCTGAGCTGAAGTTGGCCACATGGATGACTCTGCTGGTTTAGTGGAGGCAGATTAGGTTCAAAGTGGTCACACTGCTTAAAGCTGCAAGTCTGCATGTTGTTGTGTGTGCGCTACTAACACGCAAGTGATTTACAGTGTTTTACAGTGTTTTTCCGTGTTCATGTGGTGCGCTGCAGGTTTCCTAGCATTAAGAGGAGCTATTGTGTTGCATTTTCAGGATCGATTTGGGAGCTCAGATTTCTTCCTCTTCATAAAATTCAGCATGTTGTTGTTCCATGCGGAGGTGTGATAACATGGACGCCGTTGGAGTTTGGAAGTTTATTTAGGACAGTGACATATTTATTAGTGCGTATTTATAGGTTTCACATGTTGGCTTGCGTTTCAAAAGCTGCTGCGAGGTTGAAATTTCCACCGACAGGGAGATGCAACCTGACAGTGGCTGAGGTCTGACGGTATTCACAGCAGGTGGTGGGTGTGTGGTGCGAGCTCTAGAGAAAAGCTCCTATTTTTTTTTTTTTTTTTTTTTAAATGTCCTCGCTGATTTGACATTTCTGTGTTGCAGTTTGTGAAGAACGAGGCTGACCATCACGGCCGGAGCTCCAGGAGCCCTGTGATGCTGTTCGACATCCAAGACAACAACAATGTCAACTCTTTTGCGGTAAGGTGGAGTTTTACAAAAGCAGTGTGTAGTTTTAGTGTCTTCATCATCTGTTTAACTTATTAACCCATCACCTTCAAAGATCCATTTACTCACATCATCTTTAACTCCCATTATGTAAAATATGTGAGATATTAGAGGACTGTCCCTTAATTAAAGGAGTAGTACCACATTTTGGGAAAAAGATATATATATTTGCTTTCTTTCTTTCTGAAGAAGAAGAAGATCAATATCGCTCTCATGTTTGTCAGCTTAATATGTAGCTGGAAGTAGAGGCCAGTTAGCTTAGCTTAGCATAAAGACCCCAAACAGGAGGAAACAGCTAGCCTGTCCGAAGCTGATATGATTCGCCTACCAGTTCCTCTAGACCTCACTAATTAACATAACGTGTTTATTGGTGTCTTGTTTATTTAATCCGTACACAGACCAAAGTATTTGGGAGTTAGGTACCGCATGACTGAAAGTGGCTGCAGGGGTTTTGTAATTCCGCCCCCCAATGTAAAGGACAGATGAGGTGGTTTGGCACCGACAACTTTAAAAAGAGTTGTTGAACCAGGTTGATAAGCAGGAGAAGTTATTAACAAAAGGTTCACAATAAAACAAGGGGCAAAAAAATCAGCGTTGTATTGAATGGACGGATATGGGAGAGGAATCGCTCTTCTCATCTAACGCTCAGCAAGAAAGCGAATGAGAGAACACAAGAGTACATTTACCCCAAACATCAAGCTATGACTTCATCTGTACCAGTGAGCTTCCCTTAAACACTGCATGATCACACTGAACGGTATCCTGTTAAAAAGTGAACTAATACCTCATGTTTCCTGTCTACATGCTCTCACTCTGCTGTCTTGCCTTTCCATGCCTCTCCTCCCGGGCTCCACCAACGTCTCCTCCGCTTTCTCTCCCGGTTTCTAACGGATCACTTCCTTTCCTGCCTTGCTACTTACTGGACCGACCTTCCTGTCTCGCCCCCTTCGCCCACACACCCCCCCCCCCCCCCCCCCCCCCTCCCGCTTTAACTCCTTCACCTCGGCCTCCTCCGGGACTTTCGGTGGGGCCGCTGTCTGTCTCTCTCTGACGACTTCGCCCACTACTACTAGGAGGCAGTGTGTAATGAGATCTTGAATATAGCTGAGACCTCGGTGAGGTACTGCAGCACCCTGTCCCACCACCCTCATGACTCTGTCCATAGACTGCACCCCCACCCCAGTAAACAATCTCTCATCATTTCCCAGCAACCCCATTCTCACAGCAGCAGCCCGGAGCCGAACCGTCTCAACTGTGGAATGTGAGTGAGATCGCTTTCACTATCACACCATGTTTTTTGTCATAATTTCATCACTGCTTTTGGGATTTTGCGTCTTCTTAGCTTAGCGAGTTTACCAGTCTAGTTTCTTCTTCCAGTTTCCAGGCTCTGTACAGTTACGTGCCGCTGAACGAAGACGAGCTGGAGCTGCAGGAGGGCGATCTCGTCAGCGTCATGGAGAAGTGCGATGACGGCTGGTTTGTCGGTATGTGCCTTGCGGGCCTTGGGGGGGGGGGGGGCTCATTCCTCAGGGATGCAGTCACACTCGCAGTGTCACATTAATCCTTACAGGGTTTCTGCACAATGACAGCTAAGGACTGTAAGAAGGACTGGGCAGAAGTAGAGTCATTCCCACATCCTTCCATGTAGGGTTTCTAATTGAGTGCAACATGCACAGGACTTGCCATTCATCTTAAATATATCTTAAATATGTTATTTTTGCTTTTAAGTCAACGTCGTTTTAGCCTTTAATCTGAGAATCCTTTTTTTACTCGATCCTTGTTCTTTCTTTTCTCTACAGGAACCTCAAAGAGGACGAAACAGTTTGGGACGTTCCCTGGGAATTACGTGAAGGAGGTGAAACTGTAAAGACGTCTAATCTGGCTGTAACACATGGTCGCCTGTCAAGCTTGGGAAGTCACTACTATCGCGCATGGCTGTTGGTTAGCATAGTCATTTAGCCGGGCGAGTCCATTTTGTCTGGGAAAGTGTTCGGTTGGGCCTGAGGTATGTCAAACTGTACATGGGGAGGCGGAGCCAGAGACAGCTCACTGCCCGGACCTCCATCTGGTGAACACCTCGACAACGCTTTGCACACTCTTCTTGACAGAATTCCGTCTGTCTCCACGTGTGGAATTTCTCTGCGACAACCCACCGCAAAGTAGCTTTTTATTGTACAGATAAATAGCTTGCATCTTGTCCATGTAATCTACAGTACATAAGTGTTTACGTAGCACCTGAGTCTGGAGGCCGGCAGCAGAGCAGTGTGAGGATTAAAGAGTGGATCTGATTACCTGAACTGGACTTGGGAGGATGCAGGATGTGTTTTTAGGAGATGTGGGGGTGGAGCTGTTTGCCGCGAGCTACCTTTCAGGACCAGAGGTGTTCATCACGATTAGCTAAGTATGAACCTTCAGTGTTAACAGACATTTAATCCAATGTGGTGGTCCGTGCTTCGGTTTAGATTATGTATGAAGCCCCTCTAGAACGTGGTCTCTGACGGACCTGTTTTACTTTCTGTCACATGTCATGAATCTTCATTTTTCCAGTATTTGAAGAATGTCACAGAACATTGGCAACTCAGTGTAACCCCAAAGCTTTAGATACCGGTGCAGTATTGCCTTCATTTTTCTATCCCAAAGTTGTTATACGACAGTTATTACCAAGTCATGTGCTGTTAGCTCCTCAACAGCAAACACAGGACACGTGGACTGTGTTGAATGTCTGATAAAAGTGAGGAGAAACTGTGTGTATGCACATCCTATATTTTCAAACTCTATTTATTTGTCCTTTCACACCTCTGACGTAAACCGTGTCTGCTGATGGACGAGGCCCGTCAGGTAGCTGGCGGTAGACGCCTGGCTCCAGCGCAACCACAGGACAGGCGTGGTAGCACTTAACTTCCTGTTTGGTCTTTAAGGGAGATCCCACCTAACAACATGATAGCAGATTAATCACAAAAAGATATTTCATCTTTGCCAACGAGGTGTCTTAGAATATAATCATTTTTAAGAGCATATTGAGGTTTTAACCACGCCCCTACTGACAGGATTGTATGTTTTTTTTCGCCATGTAAATGTGTACAGAAAACTTTTAAGAGGCCTTCCAAATGTGGCTCCATATTTTCATATTGTAATGAATACAACTTGGCTTACACAGAGAGCCGAATGGTTTGAATAAGAAGCATTAGCACAGCATGCACAGAGGTGGACAGATCAAATCGGAGCATGAAACACGATCAGCCATCGCCTCGACATCGGCCACCTCGAGCTTAAAGCATTAGAAGTGATGACAGTCCGCTCTTTGAGCTTCCATCGCTCCCTAATGGAAAATCGCTTTGCATTTTTGATCCGAGGCCCCCCCCCCCCCCCCGAGAGCACAGAGCATGTAAGAGTAGTCCACACGCACATGTCGAAAGACGATAGCTATTGTTTGTTCTCTGCTCGCATCTTCAGTTTATCTTTAATTCAGTTTTGTTTATACCAGGTGGGCTAGTGTGACTATCTGATCCTCCAGGTAGCCGGGTCCTTTCCCCCCAAAATCCACACATGTCTAATCAGATGGTGCCGGACTCTCAGTGGGCCGACCCGTGACACTAGAACTCTCCACGAGTGCACAAAAGCAGAAACATGATGTGAAGTATTAAAAAGAAAGAACAGCAGCTCTCTTACATCTAGAAGTGTGTGTTTTCTACGGCTTTGTCTTTTCAGTGTGTTAGCTACAGTTGTGCAGTGATGATAAACATTCGGAACATGTATGTGGCCGCCACATAAGGGACGTATGTAAGTTGAATAAGTGACAAAGTGTATTCATGTAACAACAGTCAGTAGCAATCAGCGTTTCATCCTCTCTGACAAAAAAAAACAAGGAGTTTCTTTCTCGCCGGTGACAATTTTAGCCAACATCTGCAAAGGAATGTTTCCTCAAGATAACACGCCGCACTGTGGGTCTGCCTGTGTAGCACTGATATAATATTCAGGTATTTTGTTACACCACAAAAGCATGTTTTCCCCTCCACTGCTGGCGAAACATTTGTTTTTTTTGTTCCTGTGTAACTTCAGCTCCGCGTGAAAATGTGCTGATTGGCTGAGAGTCTGTCGGCTTTTCTTCCCTGACAGAAGGAAAGATCCGCTCCATCTCAAACACACTACACGGTGGACAAATAAACAATCACTATTTAGTCACACACACACACACACACACACAACTCACTCCATATTGTTCCTGTGGTATTGTGCTCCAGAAACAGGGATGTGTGAATGTATGAATAGATGAATGTGGCGCAATGCACACACAATATGTAAAAAAAACACAAAACCATGTCTGTATTTTCATCTTGAATGAACATGCAGACTACTGAGCAGCAAGGCACAAGAAGGATTGTAAATATGTAAAATAAAAAAATAGACTGCGAGCAGACTGAGCTCTCCGTCACTCGCAGCGCTTTATTTACCTGAAGGATGTTTTTTTGGGGGCAAAGCACAGAGTGGAGCGTTACTGAGCACAGGAGGTTTAACGCATATGAACATTACGCTGCCATTTGTGACGATCATAATGCCTTATGTTAGAAGCAAAATTGTGCCTCATTTTCATTTAGTTTTCTTTTTTTTTGGTTGGGGGGGGGGGGGTCATTGAAATGTACCCTTGACATATTTAATGTAACCATGGTTTTCCCATTAGTCCTAGTCTCTGTGATGGGAGAACATTTACTAAGAACCTGTCAGTTACTGTGCAAGTACCTAAAAGTGTGACACGATGCTTTAACGTGATGATTAATAATCATAAGGATGGACTAGTTTGATGAGACACACAACCTGCAACAGGTTTGCTTTGTTTGCTTCAATTTGCAGTGCTGTTACATTGATAATACTAAAATAAAGATACTATACACTGCTGTGACTTTCGGTATTATGCAATATTTAATAAACCGTTTAAACCATTTGGTGTGTTACCTGTTTTGATTTCTGTCAAAATATCTGAATTAGTTTGACATATAAGCTCATTTGGCATATAAATGTTTACGGAGTAAAGTCAGCAGTATAAAGGTTTATGAGCTCAGAGCTACACAAAAGTGTTTAAAGGCTCATTCTCTGTGGCTGTGGAATCATGAGCGGATGCAAATTTATGTGAGCTACAGGAGCTGTTAATATCCGGGCTGCTGAACTGTGCAAATTATTATCTTTTTATTTGGTGTGGCACATAATTTAGGCTACACCTTGGATAATTATTGAGATTAATGAAACGAGTTTAAGTGTTAAAGAGGATACCTTAGTTTTACATAAATAGTTGTGTAAAATGCCATTGAGGTGGTGCTGTTGACAGATGTTTGTACAGCAGCAGATGTTTTTTTTGCACTTGACTTGATGTTAAACACTTTAAAGCCCTCACAGACTGCAGTGGCCTGGAGGCCTGCTGAGGATGCATGTAAAGGACGTGTTTCATTCGGTCAGTCTACAGAGCTTTTTTCTCTCCGCTTTCAGCAGAGATCCTCTGGCAGGAATTCAAGTTTTTGGGAGCGGCACATTCCACATCCTGGGATTTAGCTCTACCATAAATGGTAAGCTCGCATATAACACGGTGACGTACCGGCAGGCCGACATCCCTAAAACAAACACTGGGGCATCTGAGAGGAGCGGAACACGAAGAGGACTCACTCTGCTCTGCTTTTACAGTATTTTCATCGATGTTAAAGGTTCAGCTACCATAATTATTGTTTTTCAAATAGATTATTTAAATATTCACTACAATAATTATTTCTCACTGGGTTGGTCAGGATATACATGGATATGTTTAGTGAGTGACAGCTCACAATGGGTGAAGTGGAGGTCTCTCCTTCTGTTAGTTCTTCATCAGGACACAACAAACACAAAGTTGTGAGTTATTGTTTGAATGTGTGTGTGTGTGTGTGTGTGTGTGTGTGTGTGTGTGATGCATAGGGTTCATTCTCAGCTTAAAGGATAAGTCTGGTGTCATCTTTTATTTTTATTGTTGTCAGTAACTCCCATGAAGAGACAAAAACCAACGATGCATTATTGTCACTCACTTTGTGACTTCCCTCTCCGGTCTGTGGCACTCTAACTGAAGATGTTTCACGTTCAAGTTACTTTGAAGAACTTCTAACTGACTGAAAAAGTCTATATTGAATACTGATGTCTCTATATCACCTACATAAGTAATCAAGACTAGATCTGGCTTTGCTGCAAAGTTAAAGTTCCTTGCAGTAGCTTTAAATTGGGGCCCAAATGTAGCTGGGCACTGTAGTTTATAGCAACAGGAGTAGGCTATATCTCTACATTTATTGGGCTCTATTTTCAGATGCAGTCCTGCAAATTAATACACATTTATTGTACTGGTAACTATTTATAAAAAACAAAGAGTGGCCATGTTTATTGTATTGCAGGAACAGTGCAACTCATTTATGTGTTTTTAATAGGTTTTTTTTGGCACAGATGAATAAGCTTTATTGGGCGTTGGATACACATTAGTCTGTTCAATCAATTGTTGGTTTTGGACTTTTAATCAGAACTGTATATAAAAGTCTTGGTTCTGGTTGGGTCCTATTGTTAGTTGTTCTCTAGGTCAAAATCATCCCTGTTACCTTGGTCAGCTTCCCCGACACACATTACGGAGTGATACATTTTGTCAATATACGATCTTTGCGCTCTCATTTATCAACGAGGAAACTTCCAAATCTATTCGTCCAAGTGTAACCTGAGGGTCCACCCACTGCTCTGATGCTGCGGAGCCAGGCTCAAACTTCTAGCTTGCGATCTTTGCACATGTCACATGCAGTTGGAAGTGAGCTGGTGGTCTGAGACGGATCTTTAAACACGGTAGCAGACTCCCCCGAAAGACCAACAATACCACCATGCCTCTCCGGGTTGTAGTGCAGGGTCCTGGGCCCTGGGGCTTCAGGCTGGTCGGAGGAAAGGACTTCGAGCAGCCGCTGACTATTTCCCGGGTGAGTGTTCCTGTTAGCTGCTACATGGTCACATTCAGGGTAACCACACCTGGGCTGGTCCCGACGAGACGTTCCCCTCGCGCTGTTTCCTTCACTGAGAGCAGACAGTTAGTTCACGTTAGCTCGAGTTAACAAAAGGCTAACGTTACTTCTCAGACGGCTAAGTTAACTGATATCACTTTCATTTAACGTTAGCTAACTATTGTTACACTGTCGGTGTATTGTACTTTGAGCCACTGACAAGAATTGTCCAGTGTTTTTACACGTTAGCTGTGCACTTTTACACCGCTAACGTAACATTTCCCCATTTCAGTTCTTGTTATTTGAAAGCTCAACGTTTCGCTTTTTTTAGTGATGTTTTATGTTTTTTTTAACTGTATACTTAAGTTAAAGAAAACTAGTCAAAATATGCCAGCATTTAATAATTTCTGCAGACTTAATTATATACGTGGGTTGTCATATTTCATTTACTTTAGTCATAACTTCAAATTAAAAGCATTATATGGAGGACTTTTTTTTTTTTTTTTAATATTGAAATTCCCGAGTGTCCCTGAACCTCTAAACCCCCCCCCCCCCTTGGACTTCCTGGTAGCTCGTTCTGTTACTTTACTAACAGCGCGTGTGGCCTAACGTTACCGAAATGCAAAGCGTTACTCTGCATCCTACACGTTTCTCAGTGTGACATTAATGAATAAGAATATAACCCTCCATTGTGTACTCAGCCTGAGTGGCGGTTGCTGTTCCTGTTGTAAATATTGTTCCAGTGTGAGCTCCACTCCGCCCATGGAAAAGTGATTAGGAATGTTTGGACTGACTCTCTGCTTCATGCCCTTATCTTCGGTAGTGTGTCTGCCCTCCAGGCAGCTCTCGGCCTCACCCGTGTGTACTGTAAATAACTAACCGTGTTAAGGTCCTTGAAGGTAACAGTTAAACAATCCAGCTGTAGATCTGAGCTCTGGTTAGACTATAAGGTCGTATCTCACTGTAAACCAAACCTGTGTTCTCCACATAGTCACGATTCAAGTTATTTTATGCGTAAGTGCTGCTTTTAAAGAATCTTTACGGAAATAGATTTTTTTTAAATATAAAAAAGGTTGGGCTTTCCCTCTACAAGTGTCAAATACCTTCCAACCCAAGCTCATACAAAGTGTTTCTTATGAACTGTGTCCCCTGTGTTGCAGGTCACCCCCGCCAGTAAAGCCGCTCAGGCCAACTTGTGCATCGGAGACATGATCCTGGCCATCGACGGAGAAGCCACGGAGAACATGACTCACTTGGCGGCGCAGAACAAGATCAAGGGCTGCATAGAGGAGATGGTGCTCTCTGTAGACAGGTGGGATGTAGCGACATGTGCAGAGTCTGACGAACGCTGAGTAACGTGAGAGGGCTCGGCTGCAGTCCAGGTGTTTTTGGGAGTGACGTGGTGTTTATTCGTGACTTTTAATTAAAGGACAAGTCTTTCTGTTGTTGTACCGACATCTTTACTTTGTATGCGAAGCTGCGTTGTGTCATTATATTGTAACTTACTGGAGGTGGAGGATTTCTGGAGGATTTTCTATATATATTTTTTAAAGCCAATATGTGTGGTACTATTTTGTGATTTTTTTCAATAATAACACGAAGGCTTCTTGTCCGTCCTCTGTTCCGCAGGTCAGAATCTAAAATGTGGTCACCGCTTTCCTCCGAGGAAGGGAAGACGCATCCGTACAAGATGAATCTTGCATCGGAGCCAAAGGTGTGTGTGTGTGTGTGTGTCTGCTGTCTCAACACCACAGCGGGTTGAGCTTTTAAAATGACCCTTCCAAACTCTCTCATTCAGCTTGGAATGTGGAGTCCTCACAGGTAGTCTGGAAGCCTGCATGTTCCTCTCCCACCGCACCCACAAAGCCTTGTGGGTTGTTCTTTCTTTTTCTTTTTCTTTCTTTCTTTTTCTTTCTTTCTTTCTTTCTTTCTTTCTTTCTTTCTCTCTCTCTCTCTCTCTCTCTCTCTCTCTCTCTCTCTCTCTCTCTCTCTCTCTCTCTCA